GTCTTTGTGGTGTCATTGTGTTTTCTCGCTGTTTGCTTTGTTTGGTTTTGTGCCAGTGAGACCTAAGTTCCAGACATATGGTGTGAGACATATGCTATCTTATCTTTATATTATCATTATCTATGTCTATCTAGTCCTTCGGTATCTTATGAGTTGCATGCTTATCCTGTTATTTACTCTGCTCTCATATATCCTGCTTAGGTTGTTGGTCTCTAAAATATAGGGGGAGTGTTGATCCTAGTATGTGTGTCGTGCAGTCCAAAGCACTTTATCTAGAAAGCATATATCTAGGGGGAGCCCGTCTATATTTTAGAGTTGTGGGGTTTTCTTATGTCCTATATCTTTTCACGTTTGTGCAAATCCCGTATTGCCATCAATCCACCAAAAAGGGGGAGATTGTAAGGGCATATTTATCCCTAAGGTGTTTTGGTGATTGATGACAATGCTTTTGCGGACTAATCGTGTGCGTTGAGTTTTCAGAGATTCATCCTTTGGCACGAGACGATTCCCTCCCCTCGGAGTGTTATTCAACACGGTGTAGCTCCTTCATTTCTATGTTGGTGGACTAGTTTCGTAGGAGTCACCGTACTATCAAGAGGGGGTCGACTTTGGTAAGGCTAGGGTGGAATCATCACGTACACATCCTTGTCACACCCTCTGAGCCTTTCCGCTTCTCTGGAGAGCTCTTTCCCTTTCTTACGAGCATCGCTTGGTTCCAGCGGTAGTACCGCGGGCCACAGTGGTAGTACCGCCCGAGTGCATCAAGCGGCAGTACCGCTCCTCAGCGGTAGTATCACTTGGAGCCCTCCGCCGTGGTACCGCCGCGGCTCCGTGCTCCTACCGCCTCGACTCGAGGGCTCGTTTTTTGTGTCGAGTTTTGCGGCACTAGTTGCGGCAGTAGAGGTGGTAGTACTGCTCCTAAGCGGTAGTACTGCCCTTACCACCGCGGTAGTACCGCTCTGGGTCCAGGTCCTCCCTTTGCTCCTCGCTCCCCTCTTCTGCACGGCAGTACCGCAAGGTGGAACGGTAGTTCCACTGGCCACAACGGTAGTACCGCCCACCCCAGCGGTAGTACCGCTCTCTGCGGGGCAGCTTTGGGGGGTAACGGTTGGATTGTTCCCCCCACTATATAAGGGGGTCTTCTTCCCCAAAGTTGACCTACCTCTTCCCCCAAAAGCTCCATTGTTGCTCCAAGTTCCATTTTCGCCCGATCTCTCTCCCTAGCCAATCAAACTTGTTGATTTGCTTGGGAGTGGTTGAGAAGGCCCAGATCTACACTTCCACCAAGAGAAATTTAATTCCCCTCACTAATCTCTAGCGGATCTTGTTACTCTTGTGTGTTTGAGCACCCTAGACGGTTGAGGTCACCGCGGAGCCATAGTCCATTGTGGTGAAGCTTCGTGGTGTCGTTGGGAGCCTCCAATTAAGTTGTGGAGATTGCCCCAACCTTGTTTGTAAAGGTTCGGTCGCCGCCTTCAAGGGCACCAATAGTGGAATCACGGCATCTCGCATTGTGTGGGGGCGTGAGGAGAATACGGTGGCCCTAGTGGCTTGTTGGGGAGCATTGTGCCTCCACACTGCTCTACCGGAGACGTACTTCCCTTAAAAAGGAAGGAACTTCGGTAACACATCCTCGTCGTCACCGGCTCCACTCTTGGTTATCTCATGCCTTTACTTGTGCAAGATTGTATCCCTTGCTTGCTTGCGTACTTGTTGTTGTTGCATCATATATGTTGCTCACCTAGTTGCATATTTAGACAACCTACTTTGATGCAAAGTTTAATTTGGTAAAGAAAAGCTAAAAATTGTTAGTTGCCTATTCACCCCCCTCCCCCCCCCATCTAGTCAACTATATCGATCCTTTCAACCGTCATTTTACCCTTGGTAGCAACAATACCACGTGCCTCACTACTCCTCCTACCATAGAGTGAGGACACCGCAGGATTGAACCTACCACAAAGCACCTCTCCCGGTGAAGATAAATCAATCTAGTTGGCAAACCAAAAGGATTGGTCAGAGAGAAAGACAAAGCTATACAATCACACATAATAAAGTTCAGAAAAGACTCAATTACTTTCAATGAATAGTCTGATCATAAACCCACAATTCATCAGATCCCAACAAACGGTTCACAAAAAGATTACATCGAATTAATCTCCAAAGAGAACATTGTATTGAAGATCAAATGGGAGAGAGAGAGAGAGAGAGAGAGATCTAGGTACCGCTATGGACCCATAGGTCCTATGGGAACTACTCACACATCACTACGGGTGCAACAAGGTTGATGTAGAAGCCCTCCGTGATCGGTTCCCCTCCGGCAGAGTACCGACGAAGGCCTTCAGATGTGATCGGTGGCGGAATAACTGTTTTGGGTCTTGCCCCAGGGTTTTTGGAACATTTGGGAATTTATAGTGCTGGAATTAGGCCAGAAGGGGCCGCGTGGGGCCCACAAGACATCAGGGCGTGCCTACCCCCTGGGTGTGCCTTGTTGTCTTGTCGTCTCCTTGTTTGGCTTCTGGTCCTCCCCCGAAGATTTTAGGGTCCCTCCTGGTCCAGAAAAAATCATCAAAACATTTTGTAGCATTTGGACTTGGTTTGGTAGGGATTTTTTGTAAAACCAAAAACAAGCAAAAAAACAACAATTGGCACTGGCACTGGGTTAATGGGTTAGTTCCCAAAATAATATAAAATTACATATAACATATATAAAACTTATAGTATAATAACATGAAACAATTAAAAGTTATAGATACGTTGGAGACGTATCAATGCGTGACACCAAGCTTAAAGCTTGAAACTCCTTTGTTTTTTTGCTGGTCTCCCACTTCTTCTCACCATCTGACACCCATGAATTTTATTCACTTTATCAAGAAAAAGACTTAATCTTAATAGGTTTATGAGTAGGTCGGTCCATAAAAATAGAACATGTGACTTTTGTAACTCAATAAAATATAAAAAATTACCACGTACCACAAAAGTTACTCATAGTTGCAAGCCGTGTCTAATTTTTATGATTTTATCATTTTCTGATAATTTATTATGATTTTTTAGTGGCGGCAAAACTGCAGTTTCAACACAGCACAACAGTTACTTGAAAACTAGACATGCAAAGGTAATTCTTGGCACATTACTTTATAAAACAGTCGTTTATACAAGGGGATAATTATTAGGGATTTTTGCATTCGTACCCCTAGTTGGGTCACGCTCGACTGATTTGCCCCTAGTTTTCCAACAATTACGGTTTTGCCCAGCTCACTTCACTTGCCTTGTGTTTTTGCCCTTTCGGGGCGGTTCCGACCAATCATGGTTCGCCATGTGGTGACTGCTCATTGGTCGGAACCGCCCCAGAAGGGCAAAAACACAAGGCGAGTGAAGTGAGCTGGGCAAAACCGCAATTATTGAAAAACTAGGGGCAAATCAGTCGAGCGTGACCCAACTAGGGGCACCAATACAATTGTTCCATAATTATTTGGGTTCAAAGTCTTCCATAATTCAAAATTCACAAAGTTTTCATGGGTATGAACAGAAGTTCAAGGACGTCCCCAACTTCTACGATGCTAATCTTTCTCACTTTCATCTTTATTTTTGAAAAAAAAATAAGTTTCCCTCTTTATTTTATTTTATTTGAAAAGTTTAAAGACACAAAACACAATAATCAAAGCCATATAGCTGGGCTTAATTAAAGTCCCCATTTAATTATTTCACCTAGATCCCAAGGTATATCAATCCCAATTTTTAATATTAAAGGCATGGGTGTAAGTAGAGAGCACAATGTAACATAGATCATATAACAACAAAGTCTAAACCTCTTTCAATGCATTGACATGTCATACAACATTAAATCATTAGAAGCAAGTAAAGCCCAATGCATGGTATAAGTCGTTTCTTACAATCTTACCATATTAGAGACATAGAGAGGACACTTATTTCTTTCTCTCTCGTAATAAACCGACTAGTATATCAGAAAATATACTAGTCTTTTTTTCTTCGATTGTAAACAATTGTTGAAGATTAAAATTGTTTTCCAAAAAAGGGAAGGTTAAAAATTGCAAACGGGCGATGAGATACTAGCCTCCACGTTACCAAGTAAGAATGTTCGTCCATTGGCTCGATTGTCGATTCAACGTGCTGCAGTCCCCTTTTAAAATGACCAAAACAGGGGCCTTGATTAATTCGTTTTTGGCTGAAGTTTGTTGGATCACATACAAAACTAGTGCTTCCTCGAACTTTCGCACTGGTCCTTCACTCGACGCACTGACATGGAAACCGCACGTCCGAATGGAAAACGAACACGTCAAAAAATATGAAAAATGGGTACGCGAGAGAGCCTGCGCGCCCGCCTCACGTGGGCCAGCCGGGTCCGCGCACGCCTGTGCGCCCGCAAGGAATCACGAGGGAAACGAGACGCGCGCGGGCGACCACCGACCTCCCAGGCCACGCCTCAATCCCCAGGCCCACGAGGCCCCGTCACGCCCATCGCGAGGCGCACAGCCGCGCACGGCGCATCCGACGTGTCGCGCGGCGCCGACCTGGCCCCCCACCCCCGCGGGCAAAGCCCCTTCCCGCCTCGCGCCCGCTGCGTGCCGGAGCGTGCCCCGGCTCGCGCCCCACGCTCCCATCCCCCACCGCCACACCACACACCGATCCGCACCAATCAGGCACCGGCATACGCCCACAGGGAAGCCCGCAGACCGGATCTCGGCGCAGGGGATCCCGAAACAGCGTCCACGTCGGACGCCACGGAGGCGGAAGCGTGTGAAGCGAGGCCGGCAAGTCGTTACGGCTCGGAATCCTCTACCGTGCAGGCTTCCCCTTCCTCCATCTCCGACCTATTTGTACGCGCAACTCTCGCTTGACGCCGCCGCAAAGCGCGAGCCCGCCCCGTCGAGTGCAGCTGCCATCGTCGCCATCGTCTATTTACCACCGACCGATCCCCGGAGGCGTCCGTCCGTCAGAGCGTCGTCGCTCGCGCGAGGAGGAGGGAGGTCGCGCGCCGGTCCATGGCGGCGGCGGCAACCTCCGTGCGGGGGTGCGGCCCGGCGTCGGCGTCGTCGGTGGGGCTCTCGCCGCGTCGGGCGCTGCAGCGGTCGTCCTTCTTGCCGCCCCTGCCGCGGCGGGCGTCGTCCGTGCGCGCGCTGCGGGCCGCGGTCGCGGACGCGCCGCACCGGGGGCTGGAGCTCCGGCGGGAGGGGCGGGAGGCGGGGCTGCTGGAGGCCGTGATCGGGGGAGACGGCGAGGAGGTGGAGGAGGTGGTGGGGGAGGAGAGGGTGGAGGGGTGGATGCGGGAGTCGATCGCGGAGATCGTGCGGCACGTCGGGGAGGCGCCGTTCCTGGTGCACCTGTTCAGCGACGGGCGGGAGGGCGTCACGGTGCGGCGCGAGCCGGCCTCGGCGGAGGCCTGGCCCGACGTGCGCCGCCGCTGGGGCCCGGGCGGCCAGCGCCGGCCCGACGGCATCATCCTGGTCGAGCAGGTGGCCGCCGCGGCGGTCGAGGACGGCGCCGAGGCGGCGCGCCAGGTGTGGGGCCTGGTGGTGCAGGCCCGCGGGATGGAGTGCGCCGCCTGCTACGTCCTCGACACCTGCCGCGTCCGCTCGCCCGCCGGCTTCTGCACCCACTTCTGCCTCGCCCGGGCGCAGTGCTTCGGCGAGCCCCTCGAGCTCCAGCTCCGCAACGCCTGGCTCAACCGCCTCTCCGGCAACCACCGACGATAGCCGCCGCCTCCGCCACCGATGTACCACTACTAGCATAGAAGAACCTCCCTCCGCCACTGATGCGATTGCCTCCGGTTCGGCTGGGAAGAACGGACCGATCGAAGCATGAAGATTCATCGGGAAGAATGCAAGAACCCCATTGATCGATTCTTTTCTTGCTTTCCGCTCTAGCTTTTCCCCTGCGCGCGAGATGGGCGTATCGTGATCGAGTAATTGGAATCACGAACCCCGCCCGCGTTTGAACCTGTACAGATTACTGATTGTATTGCTTGATTATGAATTGAAAAGCAACTAGTATTGATCATGAAGTTCTCCTTGTTCTTGGTCCGGTGCGAGTGAAGTTAGTTAGTGATTGATGCGTCTCGGTTATGCCATGGATGATCGAATCGAATGCGATCACGACGGCAATGCGTCTCAGTGACGGCTCGAATATTCTGATGCGAGTAGGCTGTCGTCGGCGGCAACATAGATGCGGTACGTCTCCTCGAGTAATTTAAAGTAGAGTAGGATTCGGTGATGAAGAGTGTGAGACATTAGTTAATGGCAAGAACGTGGATTGCCGGCCCCATTCGGGATCCTTTTCGCTACAGCGTTCGCGGCAGGTCCAATGACGACGACGGCATGATTAGTGGTGATATAATCTTGTTCCCAAGGTCGCAACTCGCAAGTCGTTTTCATCCACCATCCATGGCAGCATAGCATGGTGGTGGTAGTAATTTGCTTCCAAATTGACTGGTTCTTTGTCACAAGCGAGGAAACAGGATTATATAACTACGGACCAAGTCGTCTTCATCCACCATCCATAGTAGACTGATAGTAGTCTATTGTGACAAAAATACAGTCAATTTGGTAGCAGATTGCACCAGGCTGCTGTGGATGGTGGACGAAGACGGCTTCCACATTTGGTTGGAAGAAAGAAGACTTGTCCACCAAAGGGTGCTTCCAATTATCTCATTTATTGTTCAAAAGATAATAATCCTGTTCGCTGTGGCATCAGTAGATTAAAAAGGAATCTGATAAGTACTGAACGTTCGGTACGAGAACATGGCAACTCCGAAGGTTTTCGACGGCAAATTCAGTGACACGAGGATGACAACTTTAGTTGCTAAGCATGCCAATTTTTGTGCTTTAGTTTATTTTTTGATAGAAAGTTTGCCATCCTCACATCATTAAACTTGTCGTCGAAAATATTCAGAGTTGCCATGTGCTCGTACCCGACGTTCAGTACTTATCATTTTGAATTAAAAATGGTACCAGTCAAATACATAATGACATTGCTGGCAAGATTAACAGCCTACTCTGAAGTATTCATACTAGTAATACCAAGCAAAACTGTGAAGCTCATAAGCACTATGCATGAAACAGTTAGAGAATGAACAAATCATACCATCCAGTTGAATAGGTCAAAGTTGTGTCGACGATGGCTTTCTTCGAGGTGGTCTCGTAGTTCCCACACATGGTCTCAATGGAGAGGTCGATGAAGTAGTTGAAGTCGTGGACGTAAACGAACAAAAGCGAGAAGTCGCGCCGAGGCATGTCCCAAAAATGTATCACCCTTTTCTCAGTGCAAATTCACAAAAAGGACAAGAATTCAAAGACCAACCATGCACGCGATAGACGGGATGGAGTAGCCAGAAGCAGCATGAATGAGAGGAACGATGAAGGTTTATGTGCAAGGAGGCAAAACAAATGTGATCTGATTAGGTACTTACCAAGGTTGCAAATGTTTCCAATATATAGGCGGTCAAGCAAGAAGGTGTGGTATTAGGCCCACTACCGAGTCCATAATTGTCCCCTAACCAAACGGATTGAATACGGTAGTATGTAATAATCACACATTTCCATTAATCAACAATAGTATTATCCGTAGATAAAATATATTCTAACTCGTCAGGGCATGTCCAACAGGAAAGAAAAAATACAACAACCCTAGTCTTCAAGGTAGAGTTGAGCCTACTCATTGGCCCATGCCCTATAAATAATGGGGCGAAGATCATCTCGAGTAATATCCCTTGAGTGATACATTTGTCTTGGAAAAGTTGCCGCCTTCATGACTTCCATAGAAACCTTGCAAAGTAGCAAGCCATAGAGCAAACCGACTCCCCCCCCTTTGGCGGTGACCCCGACAGCGGGGGAATCTGCTCGTGGAGGCAATCATTCGTGGCGGACGCGGAATGTGTGGTGCTTGCCTCGTCCACTTCCTAAGAAGGCATTTTCTTGCTAACAAACCATTTTGGCAAACAAAAGAGATACTTCTACCAAAGAGGAGCAAAGGCTAAGTGGAACTCCTCCCCTTGTGTCTTCTTCCTTTCCAAGCTTGTTGCAGGGAATCTGGGCTCCTTTTTTAGCCCTTGAGGATTGCTACTTTGGTGAATGAGGCATGATAGTATTTGTATCAGAAACATATTACAAATGACTAATTCCCCTGGTATCAAAGGTGGTATCAAATCTCTAATCACACTTGCTTCCTTAGCTCTATCTAGAATTACATTTCGATTTGGTTTCAAATGAAGCACTCAAGATAGAAATATTCTTGTGTTGTCGGCGCCATGGAGAGCCTCGGAGCATGCCGACGTTGGAGTTGTGTGTGCCACGAGCTGAAACCTTTTGACCTTACTACGTCGCCCTGACCCATGTCAGAACCCCGAGGCATGACTCTCAGCGGATCACAACCCTCACTAGTCCAGCCACATAGGACACCCCATGCATATGAATTCACATCTGGGCCGAGAACGATCAAGGGTTTGTTCACGAAAGCATTGGCTATTTTTTCGACAAAGGATGAATTTTATTAGCTCAAAGTGAAGCATTGGCCTTCCTTGTGCCGGTCTGAGTTTCGCTGGGGAGCCCCTCCAACGGCGGCGCAACAAGGAAGAGGAGGAAGGGAGGATGCTGCAGCTGCTAGGGTTTCTCCCCCACAAGCCGCCAGGGAGGTGACGTTGGGGTCACGCGGTCGTTTCTTTTCCCACCCAGCTACCCAAGCATTGACCTAAACCTTAGACTCTTTTGTTTGAAAGATTAACCTTTGAAAGTAGGTGTAGAAGCATATCTTTGAGCAAGCCCACTGTCCTATTGAAGTGCATGGACAAGCAAGGAAATCATTGATCTAAATAGAATTTGTGATTATTTCTTCATCGCGAGCGAGCTAACAAGATTATACTCCCGTCAAAAAGCCATCCATTTTGACACGATCAATAGTAGTACTCTCTCTGTTCCATAAGGCATTGCATATTTTGTTTTCTGAAGTCAAATATGTCGGCCGAATTTATAGGATAGAGTATTGACATCTGCTCCCTCCATTCCTAAATATAAGTCTTTATAGAGATTCCACTACGTACCACATACGGATGTTTATAGATACATTTTACAGTATAGATTCCCACATTTTGCTCCGTAAGTAGTTCATAGCGGAATCTCTACAAAAATTTATATTTAGGAACGGAGTGGTAAAATACTAAATGAAATAAAATAAAAACATATACTCTAATGATATTGATTTTGTATTGTGACTACTGACTTTTTCATTAAACTTCATCAAACATAG